ATATATGGTTGACCCACTGTTCACGTTTATTTCAAAAAGAATATTTCAAACCTGGTACATAAATAAATGTTAAAATCGTACTATGTTTTCCATTAAGATAAAAAATAAGACAGCTTTAATTTTGAGTTATTAGCATGATAGAGGTTTGATCAGAAGTTACCCAAATACGTGTAGGTTCTACTCATCTTTCAACAGTTTACTGAATGGCCTACTATGGGCTAATCAAACAAAATATAAAGATATTGTCCCTGCCTTTAATTACATATATTCTAACTGGGGAAAAATTCAAACATGTGAAATAACAATTAGTCAGTTAGACATTTCAGTACAAAACTATGAAAGGGCAGCCAATAATTGACATTTCAAAAACAGGAAATACAAGTGCTATAAGAAGCCAGGGGAAAACTTGTCTCTATAGGCTGACAATATGCTTCTTCCCCGGCCCCCATTTTTTTTTTTAATTTCAGCATCTTATGGTAGGATGTACGTATATTGCCCATGTCCCCCTCCCTCCTCGAGTCAGAGCTTCAGTGTGACCATCCCCAAACATTGCACATCTCACTCATGCTTTGTATATGACCATCCCTCCTCCCCCTCCAACACGATAATGTATTCCTGTATGTCACATCTAGGTGTTGACCCATCTTATACCAATTTGCTGGTGAGTTAAACATGTTGCTTCGTGTTTTCATTCTTGAGATACTTCACTAGTAGAATAGGTTCCAGCTCTATCCAGGAAATCACAAGAGGTTCTATATCGACCATTGTTTCTTTAAAGCTACATAGTACTCCATGTATACATATACACGATTTATTAATTCACTCAATATATTGATTGGCACCTGGGTTTATTATCTATCCTCTCTCAGGAGGATTGCTTGAGCCCAGGAGTTTGAGGTTGCTGTGAGCTAGGCTGACGCCATGGCACTCACTCTAGCCTGGGCAACAAAGTGAGACTCTGTCTCCCCCCCAAAAAAAACTGTAAAATAAGAAAGATAGCTCTAAGGCATTGGCAGTTGAGATAATCAGGAGGTCAATAGGATTTAAGCCAAGTAGGTCAATATTAACATCAGCAGTGGTAAGTCATATTGATTGGATGTACCCTTGGTATGATGAGATGACAGTAGCACTTTATGTCTATGATCTTCCTCCCAAAAACCCACTACCTAGTTTAATCATGGGGAAAACATCAGTCAAATCTCAATTGTCTATGAAATACCTGACCAGTACTCTTCAAAACTGTTGAGGTCATCAAAAATAAGAAAAGTCCAACAAACTGTCACAAACAAGAAAAGCCTAAGGAGAAAGGAAACATGACTACTAAATGTACTGTGGTGTCTTGAATGGGATCCTGGATTAGAAAAAGAACATTAGGTAAAAACTGAGGAAATTTGAATAAAGTATTGAATTTTGTTAATAATAATCTATTGGTTCATTAACATGATAAATGTATCATACTAATGTTAGATGTTAATGATAGAGGAAATTGGGTGTAGGGCATATGGGAACTATCTATACAGTCTTTGCAGTAATTTTGTATACCTAAAACTATTCTAAAATAAAAGATTAATTTTTTAAAAAAATCAGTAGTATTTGACGTCCCAGGCTGTCCTTTATTTTTGGATTTGATTTTTGTCTGTCTTATCTTTAGGACCTAGAAGAGTGATCAGCATTTTTAGGCACTCAATAAATAGTGGTTGGTTCGATTGACAGACTTGAGAGATGATAAATTACAAATCACCTCTAGGTTTCTAACTCAGGCAGCCTTATAGACAGTAATATTTACTTACAGAATACAAAAAGTAGAGATTAGAAACTACTCTGTGCTGTTGGAAAGATGATGATATTCTTTTGTTTTGTGCCAGTGAATATTAATCAGAAAATCTGATCAGAGGCAAAATGGTAATTCCTTTTTCTTTTTTAGGCATACAAAACCTTTGCTAACCGAGTTAACAATTTAAAGAAAAAATTGGATCAATTGAAATCAACCCTTCCTGATCCCGAAGAATCACCAGTCCCTTCCCCAAGCATGGATGCTCCCTCCCCAACTGGTTCTGAGTCTCCTTTTCAGGGAATGGGAGGTGAGGAATCCCAGTCACCAACCATGGAGAGTGAGAAATCTGCCACACCTGAACCTGTCACAGATAATCGTGATGTGGAAGACATGGAACTCTCAGATGTAGATGATGATGGGTCAAAAATCATTGGTATGTCCTTAGATGATTAGGCAACTTACTCTATCTCTGTTTTGCTTTCCCAACAATAAGTCAGTCACAAGCAAGTATTAAAGGATAATTCAATCCATATAAAATTAGAACAGCAAGATAGCATCATTGTCTCTAGAACAGTTCAGGATTTGGTATGCCATATAGATTAACAATCATTCATTGCCCAGTATCTGCACTGTTCGATATAGTAGCCACTAATTACATGTGGCTATTAAGCATTTGAAATGGGGCTTGTTCAACTTGAGATGTGCTATAAGTATAAAATATACATTGGACTTCAGAAACTTAGTAAACTGCCCCCCAAAAGAGTAAAAAATACCTCATTAAGAATTTTTAAGGCCAGGTGTGGTGGCTCACGCCTGTAATCCTAGCACTCTGGGAGGCCAAGGTGGGTGGATTGCTCAAGGTCAGGAGTTCAAAACCGCCTGAGCAAGAGCGTAGACCCCGTCTCTACGTATAATAGAAGAAATTATTGCCAACTAAATATATCTAGAAAAATTAGCTGGGCATGGTGGGTGCATGCGCTACTCGGGAGGCTGAGGGAGGAGCATTGCTTGAGCCCAGGAGTTTGATGTTGATGTGAGCTAGGCTGACGCCACGGCACTCACTCTAACCAGGGCAACAAAGTGAGACTCTGTCTAAAAAAATAAATAAATAAGAATTTGTTTAGAGTATCAGAAGACTATGTAATTAAAATTTAAAGAGGCTATAAGTGGGCCTATGTCTGTTTCAGTCTTAACCCTGTATCCATAAATTAGCTTTGAATAATTTAAGGGAAAGACTCTTTTAAATTATATAGCTGAGGCCGGGCACGGTGGCTCATGCCTGTAATCCTAGCACTCTGGGAGGCCGAGGCGGGAAAAAAATTCCTTTTTTTTTTGAACAGAGCTTGCTTTGTTGCCCACTAGAGTGAGTGCCAGTGCGTCACCTAGCTTACAGTACCTCAAACTCCTGGGCTCAAGCAATCCTGCTGCCTCAGCTTCCAAGTAGCTGGGACTACAGGCCATGTGCCAACACGCCCAGCTACATTTTTTCTTTATACTACG